GCGCAGCCAGCCGAGGAGATAGACCTTGCGCAGAAAGATCTGTAGGGCGCCGGCGGTGCGGTCACAGTTCACGTCGTAGTGGGTGGGCAGCGGCTTGGGGGCGGTGGCGATCATGTCCCAGACGGGGGAGTCGCTCGCCCAGGCCAGGCGCTCGAGACAGGTCTCCTCGATGGAGTTGAGGTGCTTGATCAGGGAGCGGTTGAGGCAGCCCTCGTGCGAGCCGTGCCGCACCACAATCTCGATGATCTTCTGGAACTCGAAGGCGCTAATACTGAAACACTTGAGCACCCAGGGGAACTTGAGCTCCGTCTTGTAGGCCTCCAGCACCAGCTCCACGCAGCAGGCCATCAGCGTGATGTTGAAGTTTACCAGCGAGATCTTCTGCACCAGCAGACGCTTGAGATCGAACTCGGGCTTGTTCTTGATTTCCGCCTGCAGGATCTGATCCAGCAGATAGAAGTAGAAGGACTTGGCTAGGCGGAAGCGGCTCTTCGCCTCCCCCGACGGATAATGGGCGAGGAACTTTGACTTGATGCCTTCGATGATTTTCAGCAACTTGGCATTCACCTCTTCGCCAGCTTGCCTACCACAATACAGAATAAAGGATACAGGATGGAGGATAGAGGATAAGCAACTGCATAGCCAAGAGATTGTCTGGATGGGGGATGGATGGGGCATACTCACTTGACATAGTCTGTGGGCTCGGTGATGCGATCGAAGGCGCGCAACTGCTTCACATTGTTGGTGGCATTGAGGACGGGCTCGAACTTCTCGCCAGCCATTGCCGGCTGGGCGGGCAGATCCTGTTTGCGTGTCAGCGGCGTGGCCGGCGGCCGCAGGGCCTGATCGTTCAGGTTGGTGTGATCGCTGGCATCGTAGGCGCTCAGAATGCGCTCGTCGAACTCGCCCACGCTCAGCACGTACTGCTCGTAGCTGATGTTGAGCGACTTAAGGTTGCGTTCAAAGTTCTCGTTGCTCAGGAGGCCCAGCATGGTCCTCTCGTGGCCATAGATGGTCTGCAAGGGGAAGAGGCATTGATTGCCTTTGTCTTTCTCTCTTTCTCTTCGTTTGTCACTCACCTTTGTCTGGAAGAAGCTGGACATGATCTCCCTGAAGGTGGTGGCCTTCATGGCCTTGGCCTCCTCGGTCATGTCGCAGAAGTAGGACAGAATGCAGTGGGGATTGGCCCTGAAGTCCACCTCCGTCCAGTTGCTGGGCAGTCCGTCGAATTTTGGATTGATGAGATCGGTGCGCCTCTCGGCAAGCACATTGTTGTAGATCAGATCGATGCAGCAGATCATCAGGTTGAAGGACGTCACCAGGTCAACGGTGGTGCTCGGCTTCTGGTTCTTGGCGCACAAGAACAACCGCCAGCAAATGTCATCCAGCTTGATGTAGGAGCACTTGCCATTGGCATGATTGGCATGCAAAGAACTGCAATCAAAATAGGTGAAAATAGGTCAGGGGATTGCAGCCGACAGGCGAGGACTCACCTATATTTCGAGTGGCGTTTCTCGTTGGGCGGACAGTTAAAGATCTTGTCAAAGATGTTGCGAAAGCGTTTGTACAGTGTGAATGTGATGCTGAACTTGCGATCCAGGACCGCGATCTCGCTGACAAACTCCTTCGTCAGATTGGCCATGTCGCACCACTGCTTGATCTTTGTCTTGAAGTCGTAGATGCTGCAAAAAACACAAATGCCAAATTGTTGCTTAAGCTACAGAGATAGCGAGAGAGAGAGAGGGAGAGGGAGAAGGGGCACAGAAGAGAACGTAGAACCTACCTCATCTGGCAACAGCGGAGCAGATTATTGAGGGATACGCAATTGCCGCGCACCATGGCATCCTGACCAATCACCGTGGGTGTGCTCGAGCGGCGACAGGCCGCAAAGAGTGCGCAGCAGAGCCACATCGTGGAGTCTCCCTGAAAGATATCAGATTTCAGATTGGTGTGGATGCGGGTGGGGGAAAGGGGAGGTGACGGCACGGCACGGCCACGGGAACTACTCACCTCCATGACGCAGCGCTGTCCCACATCCAGGTACATCGACCAGCCATCCTCCTCCGTCTGGCTGTCCATATTGAGTTCGCGGCACAGATTCGTGTATTTGGCTTTCGTGATCTCCAGGGTGTCGTCTGTGACGACGGCCCCGCTGACCACCTCGGCGCCCAGCTCCTGCTCTTGGCCGTCGTTGCTCATCGTGCCCGGATGCGTTTTCACTATTTTTGCTACACTTAACTTAGGATTTGTTGCTTTTTGTTTGATGTTGTATTTTAATGTGAAGTGTTGGTTGTTGGTGTTGTTGCTGCTGCCGCCGCGGGGCGGGGGACGTGTGCAGGCAGGCAGCGATGACAGATTTCCGTACTTTTTCGTTGCTTGTTTTGGCGCGCCTCCGGATGCTCGCTGATGTTGTGCTGGGGTTGGGAAACTGTGTTCCTATTATATTTATATATATTATATACATGCAGGGCATGCACTTTTACGCGCCGCACCTAATTTTTTTATTAAGTAAAAGGCGGGAAACAGTGATACCGCGGTTGTTATCGAAGGCCCTCAGAAATATACCGAAATATACACTCTCATTTGCGAAATATACTGCAAATATACCATTGAACGTAATACATTTTCCAAAGAGGGATATAAAATAGTATTTTCCTTTATTTGAGATCATAAATTTGCTGATAATATTGATTTATTCTACCGTATACAGTAGGTAAACCTACAAATTTCGACACCAAAATATACCGCCAAATATATACTATAAAGTGTCACCCCAAGGCGGGAAAGTGTTACGTTCACGTGCACGAACTAGCAAGTTCAACATCTGAACGGATCCGACTCTTTTTTTGTTCATGAACGTAGCCATGTGTTGGTCACCACAATTTGTCGATACAGCAACGCCGAACAGAAATTTATTCGGCGGGCGTATTGAAAAGAAATGGCTCCCTTGTTTGTGATTTTATTTTGTTTTGTTTTATTTTATTGAATTCAATTATTTGACCCCCCCTTAGAAATAAAAAAAAAAAATGTATCCTCAATCCTTAGATGGGTTCTGCTCTCCTCTTTGGTTCACTCCCGCCATTCGCCGATGATCTGGGACGAGGGCACCAGCTCGAAGCGGGCGTTGGCCATGTGGGGCGGCATTCCGAACCTGCAAATGAAATGGCTTTTAATGGTGACTCTAGGGCTAGGGCTGGGGCTCCTACCTGGGACGGAAGGCAGGCACTGGAGCTGGCGCTGACTGTGGGGCTGGCAGAGGCTGGGGCTGGCTCTGAGCCGCCCTCGGGCTGGGCTTCACGCGGTTCCTGGTCGACGAGGTGCCCGCCTCGATGCTGTCCAGCGTATTCCGCACCGCGAACTGCTGCTGCTGCTGCTGCTGCTTATGGTGTCGTGAGGAGGGGGACATCTGCATGAAGCGGAAGAGGTGCGGCATCGCCTCTTCGTCTGGCACCACATCGGTGTCCAGGGCATCCCCGGGAGCGGCAGCTGGGGGAGCAGCGGCTGCGGGAGGAGTGAACATGGCCGCCAGTCGGACGGGAACAAAGGCAGGGAGTCGAACGGTGACCGGAATGCCAGGGGGCAATGGATTGGCAGCAGGCGCCAGCACCAATGGCCGTGGCGGAGGTGGAGGAGGGGGAGGAGGAGGAGGAGGAGGTGGGCGGGGACGCATGGGTGCTGGTGGTGGTTGTGCCGGCACCTTGGTGGTGGTTTCCACAGGCTCTGGCGCTGGGCTGGTGGCCGCCTCCTGCTCCACCTCGCGCCAAGCGTCGAGCAGTGTGACCAGCTCGTCCTTGCTCATGTGTCCGAGTCCAATGGGATTGTAGGCCCACTCACCGCCAGGTGGTGTCACGCTGTTCCAGCCGGTTGCCGCCAGCTGGCCAATGGAGCCGAAGGAGGCTGCAAAAGGGTCCAAGGGCGGCGACCCATTGAAGAGGGAGCTGCGCTGTGGTCGGGCAAGGAGCAGCTGGTACTGGCCAGCAGACGCCAGCTGCACCAGAAGGGCACAGAGCAAGGCTACGCTTATTGTTGTGGACATGGCGATTGTCGGTTGTCGTTTGCCTGTCCATGGGGAGGAGTTGGCGCTTTTTATAGTGTGCGTCTGTCCGGAACGTGGAAAGCGGAAGCGATCGGAAGTGGACACGCACCTTGGCGGCACCTTGGTGAGCATCGCTTGAACAGGTTCACCCATCCCACCTCCACCACCCCCCTCACAACAGATGGTCACACTAATCGAGGCGCATGTAAGTACTCGACCGGAGGCTGTCCCTGGTCCGGTTTTTGGCCTCCGGCTGCGAACCACTTTTCCATTTTTGGGCTCCTCCTCCTCCTCCTCCTCCTCCGCCATGTGCAAGCCAGACTGTGGCCAGACTGGGGGCGCAAACCAGTTGAGCGAATTGTCACACGACTCGGCTGGGTTCCTTTTGCCCATATTTATGTCCGCCTGACCGCATGGAGGAAGCATTTGAAAAATGCGTTCATGTGCATTTCCTTCATGGCTGGACAACTTAATGGGCAGAGGAAGGGGTGGGAATGGTGCGTATTGCGTAACTGACCGTGGGCGAAACTAGTTATGCACACCATCATGCTCTCCTTTGGCCAGTGCCGCTCTATTTATTGCATTGATTAGTGGGAGAGGGAAATTAAATTTAAATTGCGCGGCCAGCTCGCACCAACGATAGATGACCCAGAACAATCGTACATGTCAGATCTGCCCTGAGCAAGAGTGTGACCAAATATTGCAGCTATCATTAACAGCGCCGTCGACAATTAGTTTGAACATAATTTTGTAAACAATCAAATATATGTAATTCATGAGAGTCAATCTTATACAATATTGATTCATCGGTCGGACAAAATGATAGTTTCATAACTCAGAGTCTTAGCTTGCCAGTAATATATAACGGAATATCCAAATCGAGGAAAATGATTAAGTATATTTACGGTATATTTTAAAAATGAGACGGTTTATCAGGTATATCAAGCGGTATATCGCTCGCTGACGTGTGTTTCCAACAACAGGCAAAAACACGAATCGGATTTTAGCGACCGCCCCCCCTCGCCGAATCCAACATTGCAACAAGATAGTTTTCACATAAACTAAAACGCAAGCAATGCCGACCACCCCGAGGAGACCAGTCACCGATTAGGCCACGACTCACGCATTCATTCAGCAGACAAGCGAGACACTGGAGCTGCCAGAGAAACATAAATAGGCAGAGTTACAGGTACGGACATGGATATAGATATGGATATGGTAGCCAGGGAGAAGCCTTTCGAAAAATGTATCATATATTTCATAAAATTAAAGGCTGAATGAATTGTAGCTGGAGCTACGAACACTGCGACCATAACATCAACGGTGCAAAGCGGGACGAGGCAGCGGCAAAGTGCAGCCGTGGCCAGAGAAACACGAGAGAGCGCTAAGCTGAAGCAACACAACGCGAGACCCAAGTCCACGTAGCGAATGAGAAGGAGCCCTCAACATGGCGATGCTTACAATGATAGCCCGAGTCATCGATGGCCTGCCACTGGTGGGCACCATGCAGGATGACGAGCAGGTCAGTGTCAAAGGTTCAACCTACCCACACTCCCAGCTCAATCGCATAAAATATCGCTCTTTACTGGAAAACTTTCACTTTCAGAGCGGTCGCAGCATTTTGGACTACCAGAACCAGGCGAAGATGCTCTTCCGCAAGCTGGGCACACACTCGCCGGCCAGGAGCAGCATCGAGACGGGACCATACCTATTCCAGTGAGTAACGCCTCTCCCCCTCGCCTATTGTGTACTACAGACGATGATGCAATGGAACTAACGTAGCCGGCAATCGCCATATTTCCCTGCAATTTCCCTTCATTCAGCTATCTAATCGAGAATGACGTTTGCTACTTGGTCATGGTTGACAAAATGTATTCCAAGCGACTGGCGTTCAACTACCTGGAGGACCTGGCCCAGGAGTTCCACACCCACTACGGGCGGAGGGTGAACTCGGTGACCCGGCCCTATGCCTTCATCGAGTTCGATGTGTACATTCAGAAAGCGAAAAGGCAATTGACGGACCGCAGGCGCAACATCACGAACATTAACACACAGCTCCAGGACGTGCAGCGCATCATGGTGCAGAATATCGACGATGTGCTTCAACGTGGCACGGTCTTGGCGGGTAACCAAACAATATAACTTGCCATCATCCACCATCTGAGCCTCGTATCTTATCTTTTTTTTTGTTTCTATTTTTCGCTTGCAGACCTCGACACGAAGACCCAGAACCTGTCGCTGATGTCGCAAAAATATAAGAAGGATGCCAAATTGCTCAACCGCAAGTCGATGGTCATGAAGGTGGCGGCTGTCGGCATCGTTTTCCTCATCTTTTTCCTCTACTTCTGGGTTTTGTAATATTCGTTAGTACCCCCCACCCACCCTACTCTCTGTTTGTGTTTAGTTTTAGAATCAGTTGGCAGTTGGATGTCGAAAATGAGGCGACAGTGTCGGCAGTCGAAAGTCACAGACGAACGGCCAAAAGACATTTAGGCTAACACACACACTTTACATATTTGCATAATGTAGGGGCAATATTTATACCTGCAATGCAAAATTCAGTCGCTTGATTTAATTTAAGTTTTAAATCCCAATTCCTACTTGAATATTTTATTATGATTTGAATTAAATTTAGTTTGCTCGACCTTTGCACTTGCGATACCTTTGCTTTGCTAGCGTGCTCGGCTGTCGAATGGCTTGGGTACCGATCTACCGATCTGTAAATTATAATACTTAAAGTGTCTCTATATGTGTGTGGTGTGTGTGTGTGCATGAATTTGTAGATTGTACGTACATAAATGTGGAATAGCCTATGAAGATAGTGCCTAGGGAATCCAATCGACTGCGATTAGGACTGCTAAGCAATAAGCAAACAAAAGGAGGCACAGAAAGTGAAATAAAACAAGTTTTAGGCAATTTATATAGTTACTAAATTAAGGCAAATAAATCAATTTACAATGTTTAAAAAAAAAACGCATATCCGCCATTTGATTATTTCCATTCACCCCACGTAAGCCCCCGCCTTAATTTTAGGTAGTAAAAATGCTGCTGCAAATCTTTGGTTTAGTTTTAATTATTAATTTCCCTTTATATATATATACCTATATTTCGTTTCGTTCGAGTGATGTGTGTAATACATTGGCCTATATAGTTACACATACTCGTATGTGTATGTATATACCATATGTATATGTCCTTGTTCGATTCTTTGATAGTTCTTACCAATGAGATGGTGTCTCGGGTTAGGGTTGGGCTCTTTTTCCACACATACATACATACAATGCATACTCGTATAAATGTGTTATATCAAATCTTTACAATTAGGAAAAAAATGCGCTGTTTGCCAGTTACATACATACATCTGTTTTGTTATATGTATAATCAATCTACTGTATAATTAGTTTTTGCTTGTGTATAATTTTGTTAAATATCGATTCCGAATACATGTATACTCTCCCTATATATATTGTATATATCTTTATATATATATGCGCGTGTGAGTGCGAGTTTAACGAAAGCCAATAGACAGCCACGGATCAGCAACTATATTCTATGCTCGTGTAGGTGTCTCTACGAGTGCCGTGCCCAATCCCATCATCCATCGCTTCTGTTTAGTATATTTCAATGCTCTGTATATCAATGGAAATCCCTAAAACCTGCGCTCTAGATAAGCTCTGTGACACCGTAGAGGGCCTATAAAAACGTTTTTAAAAACAAATTTTGCCTGATCTAGGGAAGGTGGGGCGTGGGAGTTATCTATAAAAGAGCTGCATGCTGCCTGAATCTCGCCCGAAGCGGAAACCATAGTACTAATTAATACGAGTGTAATTGATGGAGATGTTCTTCTACTTCTCGAAAAACTCTTTACAAAATATCGCTCTTTTGGTTTTGGTTTGATTTAGTTTGGTCTCTAACGCTAGTGTTTTGCTATATGCTGTTCTTATTTTTGTTTTGGCTTGTTACTGGCTTCTATACTTCACATCTATAAATTCAAAAGGCAGTTATCGCGCATGGAGGGACAATTGAGACTCATATTACAAAGCATTACATCGAAGAGCAAGAACACTCGAATATACCACATACTATAACTATAATAGTATCTCTAGCTCTACATATACATATGTATCTTTATATGTATCTGTATCTGTATCTGAGGGAACTACAACCACGAAACGAAAAAAAAACAAACGAATAAAAAATAACTAACGAAAAGAGATTCGAAATGTGTTCTGTTTCAGATACCTTCTTACTGCTCGTATTTTTGGGAGACTCTTAGGACTATCAAAAAAAAAGAGAGACTATAATTAATCGAATTATACGATTAGAGTACGTGTACCGTTGCTAGTTGTTTAGGAAAGAACAGTGTTGAGTAGTGCCTGTGGAGTGGATAGGGGCATCCCCCGCTCCTCTTATTCTACGTAAGTATATGTATCTGTGTTTATGCCTGTGTCTCTAGCATATGTATATTAGTGTCGTAAATGGATGCGTTTGCCGCGCCTATGTACAATATGGAATCCAGTTAAAGGTGGATGAAGATCTCCAGTGCTCCTCTACTTGATCCTCTGATGGTCGGGCGTGCTCTTCAATATATCCGGCTGGTGGTGATGATGCTGCTGCTGCTGCTGCTGCTGCTGCTGTTGCTGGTGATGCTGGTGATGATGGTGCCCCGAGCTGAGTGTTCCCGGATGACTACCTCCTCCGGTTGTGGCGTGATGCGAGCTGCTCAGCGTGTGCGAGTGTGTAGAGTTCAAAGTGTGTGTGGCATGGGAGTTGAGCGTGTTGTGGGCCGTGGTGGTGGCGTTGGTGGAGAAGCCGGTGCCACTGCCCGGTCCACCTGTGCCAATGCCAAGGCCAATGCTGGTGAGGCCCGAGGCGGCCACAGTGGATCCGGCACCGGGAGCAGGCCGATTCGAAGTCCGCAGCGAGCGATGCGATCCGTTTCGGGTCAGTGAATTCATCTGGGGCGTGCCGGGCACCGTGTGGCCCAGGGCGTTCATGTAGTCGGCTATGAGCAGGGTGATCTCCAAGATCTTGGGCTTGCTCATGGCAAAGAGCAGCTTCTGCTCGCAGCCGCCGGCCAGGGTGCCATCGTCGTGGGAGACGACCAGCATGAAGTCGTCCTGGCAGCCGCCGAAGGTCATCACCGAGCTGTAGGGATAGCGAGCCACCGGCGCCATTGTGGACAGTTCCAGAACGTTCAGGGCATCCTCGGCAACGGCCAGCCAGGCCACGTGCGAGGTCTCGCTCTGTCGGGGCTTGGCCTGGAAGAGGCAGGCCCCGAAGTAGGGCCACTTGCGGCAGCAGGTCAGATAGATGCGGACGCAATCGAGCGTGGAGCGGCCCTTGAGGAGCATCCACTTGGATATGAGCAGCTCCTGGACCTCCTTCAGCTGCTCAGCCCCCAGGGCGTCCCGGTAGCGGTACGGATAGAACTTGTCCAGCCCCTTGAGGCCGACGCCTACGTCGCGGGACTTCTCCAGCGAGTAGTCACCCATGTCGATCTGCGACATGAGCGAGGCCAGCTCCAGGGCCAGCTCGCGAGACAGCGGGAAGCGGCCCTGCACGATCTGCGAGTTCGTCTGGTAGCACTGCAGCAGCCGCTCCTTGTCCGTCTCGCACTTGATGGTGTGCTTCCAGTAGAGTCGGTTCTTGTAGCTCAGCTGGATGACGCGCGAGTTCTCGAACTTGCCAGAGCCCTTCTCCCGCAGCGCCGTCTCCCACTTACTGATCACGTCGCACAGCTTGGCCAGCGGCTCCAGATAGTGCTCCAGATCCTTCTCGATTGGATCGTCGCTGAACAGACAGAAGCCATTGCTGGCATCGCGAGTGCCCAGCTCGTGGGCGAGCGTTGCCTGGAACTCCTCGATGGTCGTCGAGCCGTCGAAGGATACCACCTGCAGAAGAGAAAATAAAGGAAGTTATTACCACGAGCTCTATATTTTCTGTGATTTCCAGCCCATACCTGGTAGGTGGCGTTCATCATGTGCACGGGTATGGCATGGGGCAGGGAATGATGATATGGGTTCTTCAGCAGAATGGATAGAACCTCCATACGCGAGGGCTTCGTCTCGCGACCGCCGTTCTTCAGAGTGCGCTCCAGGGCACGCTCACAGTAGGCCGCATACTTGCCCGTCTCCGTCTTGGTGTCCGCATTCCGCGACAGGTGCAGCTTCAAGTACCACAGCAGGCGACTGGACTTGGGCACAAACAGGGAGACGGCCAGCGCGAGCAGCTGCCAGCCCTGCACGAAGCTGTACGCCGGAGGATTCGACTTGCAGTCAATGATGGGCGCAGCAACGGGTGCCTAATCGAGCGAAAAGATCGATCAGTATACAATCAGAGGGATGCCGAATGGGTGGTAGATTTTTGTTATCGGTTAGACTGCTAGTTGTGGTTAAGGTTAGTATTTTGTGTGTGAGGTTAGAGTTAGGTTAAACGAACTACTGGAATCGAACACAACTGTACGTGTACAAACAATAAGAGGAAAATAACGAAAGAGAGACGATAGATTTTCCCCGTCATACCTGAATGGATGTGGGCGAACTGCCATTGGCATGGGCATTGCCCGCCTGTTGGGTATCACAGGTGAACAGGCTTTGGGTGGCGCACAACAGTAGTTGCTGTAATAAGTGTTCGTCAAAGAGTCATCGGTCGGTGGTGGGTACGCAGTGTTGGGAAAGGTGGTTTGTGAAACAAATTTCGTTTGTCACAAAAGACACGCACATCAATCAATCAATCAATCAATCGAATTCGCAATTCAAAGAAAATAAGGAATAAGGAAGAGAAGCCATCATCAATCATCATCAGTTTGTTTTTCTTTCGGTTTTTGTGGTTACTCAATCATCAATGCAATTCAGTGTTCAACAGTGTTCATCAGTGTTTTTGATGTGTGTTTTGTTGTTCAGTGTTGTGTAACGCTTAAGCTTCAAACAATTAACGGCATAACGAACAAACGAACGAACGAACGAATCAGGCAAAATCAGAGAGATAGAGAGCAAGAGAGCGAGAGAGCAAGAGATGGAGACATTCAAAGCGAAAAACAAATGATATGGAAAAATACTCTAGTAACACTGAGCGTTAAAACTATGCGCACTGCTGGCTGATGTTCTGTTTTTGGATGGTTTTTGAGTTGTTGTGGATTGTGGGTTGTGCCTGTGATGGTTCTGTGGTTCTGTGTTGTTTTTTATGTATGTACAATTTACAGCAAATACTTTATACAGATTGGTATAACATATATACTACCATATATATATATACATATCTTAATGATGTGATATATATACAGATTTGTATGCAGTATGTATGACAGTTATGGGGGAAATTCTTGTCTGTCTGCTACAAAAATGAAACTTATTAAACTTAAAACATGATGAAAAAGTTCTCGTAGTTAGATTTAGGCATGCTAATGATATGTTGTTGCTTAGTTATTAGTTAGTATGTTTTATTTATATGTGTAATAGCTCTCTCTTGTTTTTTGTTTTTTGCTGTTCATCGATAAGCGGAGCAAACAATATTAGCAGATGTGGCATGGCATTTGGTGGTACCTCACATTTCACCCAGTCAGGATGGTGTTTTCTTTTTCGTGGGGCGCAAGTTTTTGTAAGTTAGTAGGGCAATTCTTTTCAATGGGCGGGGGGTAAGAACACACTACGTCAAAACAAAAACCAACTAGTTCTGGGGGGCAGGTCCGGTTGGGGAGGCATTCAACTAAACATTCTTTTTGGTGGATCGGGTTACGGGTGGAACATTTAATGGGTCGGGGATGCATGGGGGATGTAAGAAGCTTTGCAACTGAAAAACTTACGCGCGTTTGCTTGCCCAGCTTCTTGTTTACCTGGACGCCGACACTGAGCTTTTGGCCCATGTGCCGGGAGGTCTGCTTGATCAGTATGCAGATCATCTCCGTCTGCAGCTCGGGCATGTCCAGCGAATGCTGAAGTGCATTCTGGGCCAGCACCACATGGTAATCGATGCCCGGC